CTAATATGACTTTTCTAGCGAAAATGGTTATAACCAAGCTATTACACCAATTTTGTGGGATATAAACCAAAATATGTTATTTGGAACACATTTGCTTGACACTAGTTAAAATTTACAAAAATTTAGTTTTACAAAAAGAAAACTCAAAATCTATCATTTGATGCAAAAGTGGGTTTTTTAACAAAAATGGTCATAACTAGGAATTTTTATCAAATAAAACAAGTAATTATCTTATTTACGACAATTATCTTTTAGTTGCATTAGGAGAATCAATACCATATGGAAAAAATTGAATTCCATCAATCAAAATGTTTTTGGTAATTATCCTAATTCAATTTCAATCAAAATCCCAAAAAATCAGCCATCTGACGACCCTACTCGCCGAGTCACTGACTGGACTCGTCGAGTTACCCTGACTCGTCGAGTAAATCAAGTGACTCGATGAGTTCATCATGCAGAGGCACAATTTTTTCAACTTTTCAGCTTTGAACAAATTAGCAAAGCATCATTTACAATAGAAAAACTACCTAGGCTCTGATACGATTATTGATTTATGAGCAAAAATCAGTCCTATGGTGCACATACAAACCCTTAAGCTTTGGATCTAGGTTTTTCTAGTTGTACATGCAATAATTATCCAAAGATTGTAAATCCTAGATCTAGCATACCAAAGTCTAAATTACATCTAATAAACAAGTTAGAGTGTTACCTTTGATTGTAGCTTGATGATCTTGAGCTTATGAGAACCTAGCACCTCAAATGCGATGCCTCTAATGAATCACAAACACCAAAGAAATTGGAGAATCTTAGAGAGAGAGAGACAGAGATAGAGAGAGGGAGAGGATGGAGGCTAATTTTGGCTCTTCGGAATCCTACTAGGGTTGTGATAGCTGAAATTATGATGCCTAAGGGTTCTATATATAGGTGAGGGATTAGGTTTCAATTATATCACTAATCTGGTTGCTTAAACCCTAAGCAACCTGTACGGACATTCAAGAACCCTATCCTCGGATGAATACTTATGGACTATTAATAAGATTTTGTCCACCCCTATCTTTAGGGATCCTCAGCCCATTGTGAAACTATATCATAATTACAACTTCAGTCCCCTTAATTCAATTAACCTCTTTTGATCACAAAATTAATTCTAAATTAATTCCTGGCCAATGTTAATTAAATAATATGATTTCTATTTTAATATATTATTCATATAATATATTATTCGTATAATATATTAATAAACCATAATAACCTCTTTCTCCATTATACATCCAGTCAAGTTGCTTTGGTGTAGGCAACCTAAAAGGACCATGCTACAACTCGGTCAAATACACACCAAATATAGTTATGGCTTAGACACATAATCCAACAGGTGCTAGCTTTTTACTTCCAAATAGCAGCTAGCACTGAAAGAACACTGGATCCAAGGGCTTCTTCTCATTCCAAGCCTTTTGCTCCTTAATCTCCTTTCAAAAATGCACTAGAACATACAATCTTAGTGGAATATGTGTGTTAGTGTCACCTTCATCAGCTGCCATGTCCAAATTCGGATTTACCTTCCTAATATATATAAATATATATATATATATATATATATATATATATATATATATATATATATAACAAAGACACATGTGTTAAACTTGTTACCATTAACATCTGATTATATGGACTCGAGTGTTAAACTTGTTACCATTAACATGTGATTCATATGGTCCACAGCAAGCCATGTGTTATTCACCTCTAATTCAACAAGAATTTTACCTGCATAAATGTAAATAAATAGGAACATTAACAGCCCAATTATGAAAAATTTCACAAGATGCCATATCATGTACTACCAAAAATGATGATCATTAATAAGTCCTTTCAAGGATAATTTCGTATGGATAGAAGATTAAACTAAATACAAATCATAAAGATTCTAAAAAACAGTCGACTACATTGGAATTAATGGCTTATTAGAAGAATAAGATAGAAATGAAATAATAAGAGTTATAAAACCATTGTGTATGAGGTACAGAGGGAATCATGTGGACCCTTACTTCTGAAATGTTGTCCTTCCTTTGCATCACGGAAATCAAGACCCTGGTCCTGTTATATCATTCATATACAGAGGCCACAGTCAAAACAAGATAAAATATGCAATATATTTTTTACACCCACAAAAGCTCCTTTCCTGTTTTCCAATTTTTTTAATATTGTTAAAAGGGAACTACTAAATGCCACTTACCCACAAACTCTTGTAGGGTTTAACCTGCTAATAAGATAAATACTAGACTCAGAGCTAATAACACGGAGAAAAAGGTGAGCTTATATACCTATAAAAAACTATACATCATCTTCACTACAAATGTGACAACCCGATATTTCGAGACAATATGATGGAACGCATGTCAAATATAGGTAAAAATTTAACTTTCCTAAAATCTTATTTGTGTTAAATAAAGTAGTAGGAATCGTATCAAGGTTTTCATACATATAAAGAACCCTAGAATCCGAGTTATAACGAAGAAGTTATGACCAACCGAAGATTCTCGGCAAAACCGGCAACACTGATAGACGTAAAACGCGAAGTTTCAATACAATAATTTTTAGCCTTAGATATCTAAATGAAAGTTTTAGATATCATTAAACAGTAAACGTACATAAAAAGAACATCCGAATCTGACTTCGTATGAGGAAGTTGTGATTTCTCTAAGTTACGGATATAACAGTGGACAGCTAAAAACTGGAAATAGAGATCGAGAGAGTTTTAGCCGACACAAACTAAATGAGAATTGAAGGTCTCAACAATAGTAGCGCAACGGCAAAAAGTCAGACGAAAACGAACGTCGGATGAAGAAGTTATGGAACTTTAACGGACGTTTCCTGTCGCGACCTATTAAAAATATAATATTGAAAATAAATTCAAAACTAGCCGACGGAGTCTAAACGAAAGTTATAGATCATAGTCTCACCTACGCGTGGATATAAAGAACGTCAAAAACGGAGTTGGTATGAGGAAGATATGATTGTTTGAAGTTTACTAAATAATTAAAATATAAAAATTTAATTAAAATCTGGTATTATCCGAAGGAGGAGTCATCAGACCAATCTAGGTTACGCCCAGCGTACCCACGTACGCCCAGTGTACTTGGATGCTAGGATCCTGCTCATCCGCGTCGCTCCAATGCTTCGACCGAGGATGCGGTCATGCCTGACGTTCCGTACGCTCCGTGTACTCTCGTACGCCCTGCGTACGCGAGGCTTTCAGCCACTATAAAAAGGATACGAGGGTCCCGACCATTTTTTCTCATTTCCTTCCTTTCTTATGCCGAAGTTCTGCGTTTCAACCCTCGGAGCCATCCCAAAGTCCCAGTTTTCATATCCAAATTTGGAAGGAAGTTTTACGCTCCCGAGATTCCCGAGAATCCTAAGAAACCGCTTTATCGAGTAGAAGTTCTGCTCGATTTTCATCTCGCTTTCTTCAATCAATCAAGTGAGTTCATACCCCTATAACTACATTTTCAAATGTTTTGTAAATGCTTTTATACAATTTTAAGGGGGGGGGGGGAATACAAGTAAACACACGACAAAAATCGTGTGAAACATCGATCTTTTGCTATACTTTTCATACTGTTGTTTTTAACTATTTTATGAAGTTATTATCATGCAAAATACCTCAAAACACAACTTTACCCTCTTGGGATACAATATGTTTTATAAATAGAAATATGTTTTATTTATACGTTTGCATACTACATCATATCATGGGTAACCATTTCAACTATAACATGATGCTTTTACAAGAAAACTCAACTCATCATCACGTCTTTGTAACACGGTAGAAAAGGAAATCATTTCATACAAACGATTTTTCATCATATTACTCGTGAACTCGTTGTTAGCAATCATGTGGTGTCATATGGATTTGTTTGTACCAAAAGAAAGTCCCCACCTATAACCAGAGTCTCTTGGAGGGAGAGCGTGACAAGTGTGTATAGATCTACACGGGGTTGACAACTCCGCACCCTGACTGTTAGCTACAGTTCATCATTAGGGGTGACAAGTGTCAACATAGGTACAACGTCTAGTATGGTTATGAGGAACTCACAATACACGGAAACAATGACTCATGCACGTAGTAATACATAACTCAATCATGCTTGGGGGGTAATAACTATATTCTAGGGTATTATCAGCATAATCAAAAACTCAGGATAAACACTTCCACAACTAGTTTTACTTAACAATAAAACTATACATCTTCTTTTTAGCATGTCATAATTGCTTACAAGTTACGGTCTTGGTAATTTGAGACTGCATTTCACATTTAGGAAAATATAGGATTTTCCTGGTTCATATACATTCATTTTGTACAATAACGATTTACAACATCAATCTTTTGAGCATGTTATAGTTGCTTACATCTTACGGTCTTGGTCATTTGAGACTGCATTTCACTTTTAGGAAAATAAGGGATTTTCCTGGTTCAAATACACACAATTTATACAACAATCATTCATATTCATTTCATACACTCATAAGAAAATATCGGATTTTCTGGAAAACACACACGCACTTTTGAATGGCATACATTTCCTCAAAACACTACTTATGAACTCACCAACTTAAATGTTGACACTTTTTCTTTGAAATAACTTGTATTCTCAGGAAACCGCTAAGCCAGGTAGCAACTACTTTTGAAGACTAACGCGCTGGCGTTAGTAACATATTTTGGGTCACCATATTGTATTTGATTTCTTTTGCAAACATGTAACACATACAATCATGTAAACTTTTCAAATATATTCATATTATGGTGGTGTGTACTTTCTTTACTATTTAAGTGTTATGATACTTGACATGACATCCTTCACCCCGAACGTTTCCGCCGTTCTGGTTTGGGGGTGTGACAACAAACTTGGAACCACCATAACCAATCAGCAGATTCATACACATTTGAGAGGTTAAAACACCTTAGAAAAGTTCCTCAGGACATTATGGTCATATAAATGCTATACATCATCTTCCTTAGGCAGTTTTACTGCTGTGTAAATACCTGCACCAACTAGTGAGCCAAGGATGGGAGTTGTAAGGTAGATCCATATGCCTTTGTAGTTATTTGTAGCCATAGCTGGTCCCAAGGTTCTTGCTGGATTCAATTATGATCCTGTCAGTGGCCTATATCATTTCAACAAAGGGAAAATGTGAACAAAGAGGGTACCCCTTTTCTTTAAAATAAATAAATAAATAAACAAAATTCTATCAACATACTCAGTTATCAGAATATTAAGAAGGTTCAATTTATACATACCCAACTATAAGAATATTAAACATGACAGTTGCTCCTACAGCTATTCCTGCCAGCTCACCAACCTGTAGTGAAATAAAAATCAAGTTACAGTTATTTGAATAATTGCAAATTTTGTCTATGTTCATGTATATGTAAAATTTCCATATCCAAATTTATATTAATATAAAGTAATAAATATATATGAATAATTGAATATGGAAACCCAAAAATATCTACACTCGACTTTGGGCGATACTTTTCAAATTAAAATTTAATTAAATATGAAGTACATGTGATCTTTAGGAAACTATATAATAAGAAACTATCACTCCAAATCCACATGATGAGGAACGATCCAAATTCGCCATCACCAATATCAATATAAAAATAGACATTTGTCTGGTCATCATGATTTTCAAGTTCACTACACCAATTTTTTAACTCTCTTCATTAACTCACGAATCCCCCTTTTGTCTTGGATTTAGGTTTGGGGTTGGGTTACTTTTTGTTTTGATTTATTAATTGAAGCCGAATCCTTCTTAGAAGAAGTTTTTTTTGAAACCCCCGTAAAAGTTTACGCTTTTTACTGCCCTCTTCCCTTTCCCCAGATTCACCTTCACTTTTAGACTTCTCTGGGCCACCATTCACTTTCTCATTTTCCTCCTCATCCTCTTCCTCTTCCTCTTCTTCAGAGCCCTCTGCACTTTTACTTTTCTGCTTCTACAATAACAAACACACCAATAAGAGAAAGGGAAACCCACCCACAACTACTATAAACTATATACCACAAACCATTCCCTTTATTATTATGTTTAGGCAACTTTTGGGGTTCTTGTTTTTCTCAAAAAGGCAAACTGATACTACCTTTGAACAAGTTGATGCACTCTTCATGCGTTTGCCTCCTTTGCTTGGCTGTAGAAGAATATATATATATATATATATATATATATATATATATATATATATATATATATACATAAAAAAGAAAGATTATAATATAATATGGTATATTCAAATGCAATTAATACCTGTTCTTTCTATAAAACTAACTCACTAGTTATGATATGAGGAAGTAACAAAAAATCTATCAGCTTCACAACAACATCTTCCTGTGTGCATGAAAAATACACATCATGTTGCTTTGCTTCGCTTTTCTTTCACCACAAACAACATCATGTTACTTATCATGTCCAATGAAAGTGAAACAAACCTTTTTTGCACTGGTTTTGACAATGGGTATGTCAAGTAGATCACAAAACTCAAACAACTTCTCCTTTGTATACTTCTCAAGATTTTCTTGCACTTTAGCTTTTTCCTTTTCCTGCAATAATTAAATTGTTTTAGACCCTTCATCCCTTGGACCTTTCCTTGCCATCAGAACTTGCTTTACTATATAACACTTCCATGCATATTTGTTTGCTTTTTATTAGTAATGGTTTTTATGAATCTAAACTTTATTTAATATACAATGCTTATAGGCTGTATTTTCCTTTATCAAATCGCCTAGGCAGACAAAACGATTTTCAACTAGGATAGGAAAGTAAGGAAGAGATCTATTTGATATTTATGTCAACAAGATGAATATTTTCCAACTATTTACATCATTTTCATGCCACACAAAACCAGAAAACCGCAATATGTTACTCTTAACCAGCAAAGCCTGTAGGTCAAACAAACACACAATTTTCCTTTAGTTAAAAACAGAAACACCTGAAATATATTTTTTTTATATGTATATATATTGGTCCTTAGTAGAATTTAGAAAAGCAAAAACTAAGAGACTTTTAGGATGAATATAAAGAAAATGTTTAAACTTTGATGGAAGATGCAATTCATACAGATCTAAACCATTTATAGATGTAGTACAGACTCAAGTAAGTAACAACAAGATAATTACAACAATGGTCATTTTCCTTATTCCCCACCAGCTCAAGTAATGTAAAAGAAAATAACTACCATAACATGAATTGGGGAATATACCTTTCCTCTCCTACCAAATAAGACAGTGTGGAGCAGCTTAAGAGCATCATAATGGGATCGAGAATCAGAAAAGTAGGGAGAAGGATATCACACCTAAGAAATCAAGCAAGAAGAATTAGGGAGAAGGAACAAAGCATACCTAAGATGCTAGGAGAGTAGAAGCGAGGATCGTGGAATGAGGAGGAAATTGCCATTGAAACCTGCATAGTTTTTCAGTTAGGGTTTAAAACAACACAAGATGAGAAGATCCAAAATTGAAATCAAAGCTATGAATAGAGGATAAATTAAAGAAATCGAAGAACGAAACATTCGGAAGAGAGAATAACCAAACCATATCTTATTCGGGCTAGGGTGTGGAAATTTGAGCAGTCTCCGATGAGGTCACTGGAGGAAAATACCCCTATGGTCATTGGACGAGAAGTGAGCAAAGATGTTGCCAGCAAGGTGAGGCGAGATCATCGATCGATTGTTGTAGATGCTAGAGAGAACCAAGTGTTTCTGTTCTTAAAAAAAGCCCTAGTCCCTGCGATTTTTTGGAATTTAGTAGTACTATCCTTGCTTGTCTTCTTCTTTGCTTCTTAAATCGTAATAACAATTCCTATGAAATCACAGGTTGGGTTTTAGGTTAGAGAGAGAGAGAGAGAGAGAGAGAGAGAGGAAGACGAAGACCATAGGCTTCTTTCTTGCTAATTGGAAAGGGAGCGGGTTTTAATTTTTCACATAGAATAGGTAGGGTTTTAGTTTTTGGGGATTTCATTTCCCCTTTCAAGAATGCACGTTTTGAGTAAAACATAAAGCAACACTCACAGAGGACGTGCATTTTAGATAAAGTGCCCGTCGTGTTTTTATTTTTTCTACATGAGACACTAATCTAAGGGCACACAATAATGCGTGACAAAAATCCTTAATTTTTTTGAAGAGACGACACTTTTTTAATGTCACTCTCTTTTGCGTAACATAAATCAATGAGTGTCATGGTTTGCGCGTCGTAAAAGGGTCTCTTTCTTGTAGTGATCACAATTGCTATCTAGTTACAATATACTTAGTGAAAACATTTCCTCACCATCATATTTATGAATTGGAGAGAAACCTTATGATACTTAGATTTTTCCTGGTGTATGTGTTCTTATCCATGTGAATTTGTCAAAACCATAATCACAAGAATAGGTTAGTGACATGTTCAAACTCTTATGGATTGAACTTGCAATCTTAACTTCTTGCCACCTGGCAGCACAAGGGCCTGCCATTGCTTCCAAGTTGTTATGCACTCAATTGAGAACTCTTAGAACTCATATGCAAAGCCCACTTTAACTGGAATGGGCACAGAAATAGGAATATGTCAACACGATAGATATAAACCTCAAGTCGTGTGCTAGTGATAAATTATAGGTTTTTTCCTCTTGATTAGATCTGGAAGCCTTTTTAACATCTTTAAGACTCCCACTGTCCTCTTGACATATAAGACTCACTTGCCAAATATTCAAGAGATAGTGCGGATTCTTAATCAAACAAACACTTCACATAATTAGCCTTGGTTGGTGTTTGTTTTATCCAAAACATCACAACTTACCAATTTCAAATGTATAAGAGTAGGACACTTTTACTCTTACAATTGACAAGTGTTATAAACCTTTCTTTAAGATATGCCACTCAAGTTAAAATCTTCGAGTATAACTCTAAGACTTGCTTTGGAGCTAAGTGTGACTCATCTTCTTGATTTAACCACTTCAACAATTCATGATTCATCTTCTTAGCCATAAGAATGAACTAAGATGACCTTAGAGAACCAATTATGATATGGTTTCTTAATCATTAAGATGATCACTAAACATGATACTAAAGTCCTCTCCCATCTTTTCAGATTTGAGAAACTTTTATCTTTCTGCCTAATTTGATTCTTCTCATTCGTCCTACCATACATAAAAAATTTTCCAATGTTTCAGAATTATACTTAAACTTGTAAGTATAACCATATTTACTAAACCTTCAGTAAATCATGACGAATAAACTTATGGATCTTTTGTGGTGGACTTGACCAGTGCACATGAATGTGTACTTGATCCCTTAGTCCTTCACTTGATTCACATGTAAATGTGAACAAGGGATTAGTCTTAATTTTTCCAAAGCTGAAGTTCTCATTCATCATACTATACAACTTGCATGATTCCAATTTTCGGTCCAATTGAAACTTTGGTTGATGAGAATCTTTCCTTATTTGGTAAATTTAGACACTACCACAAACGAAGAAATCAAATTCATGTTTCCATTATTGCTAGAACCATTCAAACATCAATTTTCCATAAATGCCATTGCAAGGATATATAAAATAAAGTAAAACAAAATCTTATTTAAAAAATGCAGAAAACTTATCATTACAATGCAACTTTAAATGAAAACTATGCTATTACATATTTTCCCTAGTAATCTATCATAACTCTTAAGTAGTAGCTCAAGAACCCGATCTTCAAATCATGCGATTGAAATCCATCTTTGCGATCAGATTCATCATACCCTTCCTTTAAGTTTCCTTCCCTTTGCTTGATCCTGCCAAACACACAAAAATGTAACCCAGTCACATTTTGTTTTAAGAATCATCAATAAAGAACTTAACAGAGTTAGATAGTTGACTTACCTGAAGCAGAGTCAAATCCTCTTGATTTTTTCTTCTCTCTTAGATCTTTCAGGTAGATAGAGCAGTTTCGCAACCAATGTCCCTTCTCTTGACAATGAAAACATATAGAATCTTTGGGAATGGTACACGGGACTATCACAGAATTAGCTTTTCCCATTACCTTTTGGTCAACCGGGTTGAACAAGGTCGATCCCTTTCCATTGGGAAGTGAAAGCCTTTCTGGACTTCCAATTTTACCATTATCAATGTCCATGGAAGTTTGATAAATAGACCTTCCACCCATATTTGCTTGACTTTTGCGCCAAATCATTGTTGATTCAGCAGCAACAAACAAATAAGAGAGATCTATTAGGGTAATGTCATGATCTGTCATATAATAGTCTTTGATTAACTCACTATACGATTCAATAAGTGACTGAAGATCCCAGTCAATAGCAAACTTACTTGAAATAATAACACCCAACATTCTCATCCTGTCAATGTGTGACTTCTTTCTTAAGGAAATGAGTGCACATGGGTCTTCCATCTTTATGTTTCATTTCTAGTAGGGCTTGACTGACCATGAACCTCTCAAGTCTTCAGGGTTGTGGGTTAGGGAGAATAAATGGAGGAGGTGGAGGTAGAGAAATATGATTTCCATGAGATTTAGGTAGATCACAGTTGTCTAAACCAAACATCTACAATGGGAGATATTCAAGTTAGTTGATTTTAAGTCCGTAATATAACACCCAATATGAAATATTACAGCTAGGACCCAACACAATATTTTATAACTTGGAAGAGGGATGCCGTAATCCAAACTATAAAATATTTGAAGGTAGGTGAATGACGATTCACCAATTTACACCATGAAAAACGTAATAAATTATTAGGTTTTAATTGGTTTTGAAACTCCTGGATCTTTTGGGATTCATTGAACTTTCAATGGCATGTTTCAATCTCGATTGTTCCCTTAAAGTTTTGTGACTGGGATGCTGAGGATCACAAAACAAGTGGTGAAGTGACCATGCAAATTACTTGGTACTCTTAAATGTTTATCACTTAATCGTTGTACCGGTAAACCACAGGTGCCCCTTCCGACCTCATGAAAAACCTTAAGTCACCTTTTGCCTACCTTTTTAAGTCCAAGTTAGTGTGCTGGTAAACCACACTTACTCTACTAACGACTTAATCAAAGTGGAAAGTGTAATTTCATGGGTTAGCACCTTATTCACATTTTCCTAAGGTAACTAAGATTGGGAATTTATAAAATTATTTAGTTACTTTATAATAATCATTAATACTTTTAATGATGGGGGAATTATAGTCATTATCCTACCCGTTCGGCTAACGACCCTCCACCAGTCAAGGAAGCGGTGGGTGAGAGTGGACATTTTATAGGTAGTAACCTTATACCCCCCCCCCCCCTTATAAATAGGCTTCGTGAATGAGGCCTACTAACGGTAAGACTGACTTGCTCTTATACATACATACATATATATATATATATATATATATATGTATATATATATATATGTATATATATATATATATATATATATATGTATATATCTATATATATGTATATATATATATATATATATATATATATATTAATCAACTTGTAATATTATAAAGTATAAAGGTTGAATTTTAACTTTTAAAATTCTAGGGATTGGAACTAAAGTTTTTAATGTGACTTTACATGTTCCAAAACTTGAGGGTAAGTTTTGTAACTTTCAAAACTTTTCATCCTTCATAACTTATGAGTTAAATGGTTTTTTAAAATGAGTGACTTTTCATTTTATGTAACCTATGCGTTTCTTTAATGGGTTTTAGAAGTGTGACTTTTGGTAATCCATAACTTGAGGAAAAATTATGGATTCCGTTAAAACACATAATGATCAAGAATTAAACTAGAAAGCAAGTTACAAATAGTTCCTATGATCTTCTAAACTCATAAGTTCATGAACATGCATAACATCTATTTCAATAATCATAAAAATTAACCATATAAAACTTGAAATTTTGATAATAACTATTGAAAATGGATTAGCATGACCGTTACAACATCTAAAACAAGTCTACAAGACCAAAACGGTTTACGGTAATGTTTCTAGTCCATTTCCAGCAGCAAAAGTCGAAAAACTGCATTCTGAGGCTCCTACTTGTCGAGTGCAAGAACCTACTCGACGATTAGGATGCGTTTATGCTTGGACTCATCGATTCCCCCCATGGACTCGGCGAGGCCACTGTCCAGACAACAAGTTTTTCAGCTTTTTTCCACCATTTTTCATCAAGTATCAACAAACAAGCCTAGGCTCTGATACCACTGTTGGGTTTTGAGCATTCTAACACTCCTAAGGTGTACATGCAACCCTGTAAACCTTGGATCTATGTTTGTTGAAAATACATACAAAATTTGATTTCCAAGGTTCTTAATCCTATCTAGCATACATAGGGAACTTTTAATCATAAAAGATAGATAGAAATACATACCTTGTAGTTATTGGATTCCTTGAAAACCTTGTGAACCTAGCACCTCAAGTGTGATGCCTCAAATGTCTCACACAACACCAAATACACTTGGATTAAACTTGAGAGAAATGATACACACTTTAGAAAATCGGCTAACCCTCTCTTGTCTCACTAGTTCTAGTGTTTGCCGATTTTGGTAACTTCATATCCTTTATATAGTGTGTTACAATTAGGGTTACACCATAGAAACCCTAATGTAACATGGCTCTTCATTTCCATGACCCATGGATTTGTAACTCCCATGGAGAATCCATGGAGCAT